GATCACCTGAGGTCAGGAGTTCAAGACCAGCCTGGCCAACATAGTGAAACCCCATCTCTACTAAAAAAAAAATAAGAAATTAGCTGAGTGTGGTGGCACATGCTACTTGGGAGGCTGAGACAGGAGAATCACTTGAACCCGGGAAGCAGAGGTTCCAGCAAGTCAAGATCACACCATTGCCCTCTAGCCTGGGTGACAAAAGTGAAACTCCATCTCAAAGTAAATAAATAAGTAAAAATAAAAAGTTGTTAAATATTCAGAACTGCTAACCCTAGAGCATCCGATGTTAAGTTAGCATGGTTCCTTCCTAGTATGTGTGTAAGCTGAGTTACTACCATAATCCGGTTTAGATACCCTGCTTGTTTAACAGAGACTTAGGCCTTTGAGGCAGTGGATTGTGGGGTAGTAGGTTAGTTAAGAGAGAGGTAGGTGGTCAAGTGTGGCAGACATGGCATTTTGAGGTACTTGGGAATGTGTGCTGTTGGCTCTGGTGGTGCCTCTGCCCAGCAATGCTCTGCTTTCAAACCGTATGCACTGTGGAGCAGGCCCTTCTTGCTGGTACCTGGAGGGTGGATCATGTCCAGCTGCCACTATTCAGGAAGCTGCTGGTCTGTACAGCCTTTCCTTCCTGCAGTCTTTGCCGGGGACCTTTCCTTTTGTGTTAGGTGTGCCGTATTATCTGGAATAATACTTGAATGATACTTGACATTTTGTTTTTTTTGTAAACTTTAAAAAAAATCTTTTTGTTGCTTGTTTTGAAACTTGTAACTTTTTTCTTCTCAGGAAGATGATTTTTAATGTTGCATTGTTCATGATACAAACTCGAAGCAACACTATCTGGAAAAATGTCCTTTTTTGCATTTTGGTAAACAAGCTGCGTTTATTTTTAAAAATTCTATTTATAGAAAGAATAAAAACATTGAGTAAGAGCATGCTGTCCTCTGGCTGAAATAAGTGAAATGTAGTGAATGGACCTGGACATTTATTTTGGTTATTGAGAGCCCTTTTTGCTCATTCTCCAAGTATTTATTTTGACTAAAGCTACTGTGTAAATGACTTCGTCATTGAAGCTTACCTAGTAAGATAAGTGCTACTACCTGTTTTTTTTTCTACATACCTATAACAAAACCAAGGAAGAAAATTGAATATAAAGTTAACCACAGATACAAAAATATACTTAAGTGGGGTTTCTAGTGATGGGAAAGATGGAGATGTATTGATGATTGGAATTTCATTTCATATCAAGAACAGAATGTTGGGGGAGGAGATAAAACAAAAAGTCAGTGTTCAGATTAAAGTATATTTCTAGACAATATGTAATATTGGGAAGGGTGTTTAAAGTTTCTGCTAAGTGACCAGCTATAGTTATTAAGTTGCAGTGCCAGTTTCCCCAAGGAAAAATGGAGAAATTGTATTTCTGAAGAGGTGGTCAGTTTCCGTATTACTAGTGTATAATTTTAGTTTGAATGAAAGGGAAACAAATAATATCTCTACACTTGTTTTTTCCTGTTTATATAATTAGCATATAATCTCAGCATTTATTTGTATGAAATCCAGAAATCAAGTAGATTTCTTGATTTACCTTTTATGTATATTTTCTCTTCCATCTAGGTAGACATTACATCCAAGAGGAAATAATCCAGGCAAGCAAGCACAAGCTAATCAAGATGTGTAGTTCTGTGGCTGCCAAGTTGTGGTTTTTGACAGATCGTCGCATCAGGGAAGACTATCCTCAAAAAGAGATTTTACGAGCGCTGAAGGCCAAATGTTGTGAGGAGGACCTGGACTTTAGGGCTGTGGTGATGGATGAGGTGGTGCTGACAATCGAGCAAGGAAACCTGGGTAGGTCTATACTAAGTGATCTTTTAGATTTTTACCTAGAATATGATGAGTCTGCATGTTTTAGGAATAATTAGGACAGAGGAATTCGTAGCCTTGTCATGACTAAGTGTTTTTTAATTATAAGGTCTAATATATTTTATGGACGTAATATAAACAATATTTATTAACTTTATTAGGAAACAGTTGTGAGGGAAATTAAAGATGACCTTCAAAACAGATAAACAATAAAACAAAGTAGACACATGCCTGTAGTTCCAGAGGCTAAGGTGGGAGGATCACTTGAACCCACAAGTTCAAGTCCAGCCTGGGCAACATTGAAGACACAGTCTCTGAAAAATAAAAATAAAAATGATTCTCAAGTTCCTTTCACTTTTACTGTCTTCTAGTTTTAAAATACTTTGTTTATAAGGTGCTCCTAAGGAAATTTGTATCTTTGGAGGTTCTTTCATTAATACTTGATTAATAAATCCATGTGATTCCTTTTTATAAAACACTTTATACACGTAATATAAACTAATACGGTTTTTCTTACAGGTGAGTGTCTTAATGATTTAACTCAATTGGTGATAAATATTTCTAGTATTTTTAGTATTTCGTATTTGTTTTAGTACTATAGGGGAAGATATCCTGGAAAAGTATAGAAATTCTTTAGTACTGATTTTCAGGAAACTCTTAAATTTTTGCTTTTGAAAGTTTTATGGCTTACTGTAGCTAAATTGGTAGTTTCTGTCAGGGAGCGTTATATGGTGTCATATAAATGGACTTTTTGACTGACTTTCAGAAAATGCTTCATAATTTAACGATAGTATAAATACATTTTAGATCACTTTCTTCCTTTGTGACTAGAATTACACTGAAGCCCCATGATTTAATTTCCTAATCGATGAAATGGAGAAAGACAGTTATTGTGAGAATTAAGGCTATGCAAAGTACAATAAAATCTTACCTTTATCTGCCCTGGTAGGATAATTTCATTCATAGGCTAACAGATCTAGAATCTTGTCTAAATTAAAAATGTTACCATAGGTTGAGTATCACACTAAGTATAATCTGTTAGCAAACATCACTTTTATTTTCAGTCCTCTTGTAACATTTATTTCATCCACAGTACTTTTGATCAGTTATTGTTGCCAAAAATGTTTCTTTGTTGTTTCGCTCAAGTGGATAAGTACTCTTGTTCTTTTTTTTTTTTTTTTTTTTTTGAGACGGGGTCTTACTTTGTCACCCAGGCTGGAGTGCAATGGCGTGATCTCAGCTCACTGCAACCTCTGCCTCCCAGGTTCAAGCAAATTCTCCTGCCTCAGCCTTCTGAGTAGCTGGGATTGCAGATGTGTACCACCATGCCTGACTAATTTTTGTATTTTTAGTAGAGACCGGTTTCACCTTGTTGGCCAGGCTGGTCTCGAACTCTGAACTCAAGTGATCCACCTGCCTCGGCCTCCAAAAGTGCTGAGATTACTGGCATGAGGTACCATGCCCACCTACTCTTGTTCTCTTGAATGTACTGCCTTTATCAGGATGATGCTCACTATTTTATTTTCAGTGTAATTCTCTTTTCAGTATATATTGCCTGGGTCCAATACCTAGTTATTTACATTCAGGAAATCTGGGATGAGAGTCTATTTCATTATTTCATGAAGTTTTGTTTTTTTTTTTTTTTTTTTTGAGACAGAGTCTCACTCTGTCACCCAGGCTGGAGTGCAATGGCGTGATCTCAGCTCACTGCAACCTCTGCCTCCCAGGTTCAAGCAAATTCTCCTGCCTCAGCCCTGTCTCTTATACACATCTAGATGTGTATAAGAGACAGACTGTAACCTCCACCTCCTGGGTTCAAGCAATTCTCCTGCCTCAGCCTCCCGAGTAGCTGGGACTACAGGCGCCCGCCACCTCGCCCGGTTAGTTTTTTGTATTTTTTTAGTAGAGACGGGGTTTCACTGGGTTAGCCAGGATGGTCTCGATCTCCTGACCTCGTGATCCGCCCGTCTCGGCCTCCCAAAGTGCTGGGATTACAGGCTTGAGCCACCGCGCCCGGCCTTCATTAAGTATTATTTCAGCATTTACTATGTGCTGGGTAGTGATATGGTATACAAAATAAAATATAGTCTCCTCATGTATTCTAAAGGATAAGGTCAATATTAGTCAAACAATCGCACAAATAAATGTAAAGTTATAACTTTGGTAACATATGAATGAAAAGTATGAATATCACTTTGCACCCCTCTTACATCTGTGACCAAGATCCTTGATCAAATCAAGGTAAATCTCTAAAACTCAATATTTGTGACATACTTGTTCAACTTACACAGATTTTTCAGTATAAGTGTATGTAGTTATTATTGAAATTGGAGTCAGAAACTCAGACACTTTATTGTATTGGGAGCCATGTTCTTGAAGTCTGCATGAGAAGAGACATGCCAGTGTAAAACGTTAGTTCACTCAACACTGCTCCTACAAGGCTTCTGGTGGTTGGAAAACCAAAGGCTACAGCCATAGATCCTTGTGAAATGTAGTGGCTGCTAAGTAATAACACAAAACGTGGGAGGTAGAAATGGGCATCTCTATTTTTTAAAAGTGTGTAGGTTGAAAAGGTTCTGGGGTTGAAAACCATTGCTCTTGATATTTTTCCCAGTTACATAGTGAACATTTTCACTTTATTCTCAGGTGGCATTTCTGTGTCATTCTATCACAGTGGAACTTACTTTTTTCCATCAAAACTATCTTGTTATTTCAGCTTCTCTGTCTGTGTTTGTAATATCACCTTTCTCCCGTTGACCTAGTCTTATTGTTAACATGTCTTTTTTTTTTTTTTAATCCTCAAGAGCCAGTATGCTACAAAATTTTGTTGCTTTTTCCTTCTAAGCCATAAATGTTCTATCTTCTCACTATCCTGGGTCAGGCTATCATAGCTTCAATTTTTTTTTTTTTAAAGACTAAAAGTGAAGTTTTAATTAATAGGTAAAAGAAAGAGAAAGGAGATCAGCTCTTCTGTGAGAGAGAGGGGCACCTGAGTGGGGCTTCCCATGGCTCCAAATTTTAATGACTTTAGTTAGCCCTCTAGCTTTTTCTTTCTTTCTTTTTTTTTTTTTTGAGATGGGGTCTCGCTCTGTCACCCAGGTTGGAGTACAGTGGTGTGATCTTGGCTCACTGCAGCCTCAACTTCCCAGGCTCAAGCAATCTTCCCACCTCAGTAGCTCTTTCTTTTTCAAAACTGTCTTTTCCTCTCTAGCATTTTTACATCTTCATTAAACACAACTTTTATCATCCTAATATTCTTTTAAAAATCTTCAGAAACTTACTTTTCCCCTGTAGTGTTAAATCTAATTTAAAATTTTTGATACTTTTTGTTGATGCACCTCCTATATATTCAGGCATTTCTAGAAGGGTTTTTTCGTTGTTGTTGTTTTTAACATTTTTCATGTATTATTTAACTCTCATATCTTACGAGGGAGGTGATATTACCATTATGCAGATGAGGAAACAGGCTCTTTCACAGAATTAAGTGGAGAGACTTAAACAAATTGGGATAAGGGAAGTGTTCTAAAATTGTGGCTATTTTGCATGATACAGTGAAAATACTAAAAACCACATTTCTATACTTTAAATGGATGAATTTTACAATATGTGAATTATATGTCAAGAAAGCTGTTTAAAAAATGTTATACACATCATTTACACATTACACGTCATTTATACGTTATCTGTGCAGTGTTTTCACAGTCAAAGAGAGACTATAGTTATAAATGAGTAGAAGACATAGAAGTTCTTTTGCTTTTCCTTTTTTTTTCTCCTCATTGCCTCTCCCTTTGTGTCAGTGTATGTAAAACTGCTCTCTTGAACTTCTCTTACAAATCTGTTGTAGCTCCAATATTAGTCTTTTCTATTAACGGTATCCTCTTCCTAGCCTAAGCTTGAAGAAATCATAGAGTCAGCTTTCTTCTTCATTCTCCCTTACTTCCAGATATAATGTTGTAAAAGACTTGTCTGTTTTGTTTATAATGTATCTGACATAATGTCTGTTCTTACTACTGCTAATGAAATCAAAGTTGCCTGAACTATTATAGTAACCTCTGAATTTGTTTCCACTTTAAACTCATCTTCTAATGTACTGTAGTCAAATTAATCTTTCAGAATTACAGTGCTAGTTATATTTGCCTTTCCCAAGTCCGCTTTATCGTTTTATTGCCTAATCCTCCAAGTTTTGTTGTTGTTGTTGAGTATCTTCATCGGTTAAAAACTTTTGAAACATTCACCCCAATATATGCCTATTTTAAAATAATGAATATTGTACTATGCTATTGCCTGTTGTAGGACTGTCCTTGGGCTAGCAGAATTGTATTTTCCCTGTTCATCTCTTTTACTGACAGTGTGGCCTTGGATTTTCAGCCTCTGTGCCTCAAATTAAAACCATCCCCCGGCAGCAAGTGTGCTGATTTTTCACAACTATCCCACTGTGGTCAAACTGTGCCAGCTAATCTGGTTGCATTTCCACCTCTGTGGAAACGGAATCAGACCTAGGTAAAAAAAGGCCATAGATTTCCATTGTTCATACCCAGAGTTCTAGCAGTTTTTTGTTGTTGTTGTTTTAAATGTGTCTCAATTTGTCTGTCTTTGGTTAGTTACCAGAGCTCTGAAATAGAATTGATAAAAATATTTCCAGTTTTGTACTTGTTCTTTGGGGTGAAGGTTTGTTGACCTCTTTTTAAAAATATAGCTTCGGCCGGGCACAGTGGCTCACTCCTGTAATCCCAGTGGCTCACGCCTGTAATCCCAGCACTTTGGGAGGCCGACGCTGGCAGATCACAAGGTCAGGAGATTGAGGCCATTCCTGGCCAACATGGTGAAACCCATCTCTACCAAAAATACAAAAATTAGCTGGGCCTGGTGGCGTGCGCCTGTAGTCCCAGCTACTCCGGAAGCTGAGTCAGGATAATCGATTGAACCCGGGAGGTGGAGGTTGCAGTGAGCCGACATAGCGCCATTACACTCCAGTCTGGCAACAA